TTTTGATGGCTTATGTATGCATTATCATAATGGTGTCAAAGGAAAAGTATGGTATGATAATTGTAATATGGATGTGAAAGAGAATACTAAGGAGGAATGTCTTAGTGATCTGGTAGCAAGGTGGTGGTAAAGTATGAATATGGACAGCGAAATCCACGACGTTCATCCTGACATTCTAATGATTACCAAGTCTCAAGTAGAGATGGGTAAGTCATGTCGTTAGAATAGCAGGAGGTCCTAGCCTATAGGGTCTTAGGTGAGTTATAACAGATTAACCCCAGGTGGCAGCTGATGGTTTTCCAGTTACTACACCCCCGGGTGCACGAACGACCCAAGCTACATATTCATACAATCCAGATGGTCAAGTCAAGTAGTCGGTCCTTGCATGAATTAATGTGTTCGGTTTTGGCCTGTTTGAGTGACTGGTCATTGCATGATTTTAAGGGTTTGGATGTTACATAATTATGTATTTGTTGAACTTGCATGATAACTTAATCAATTAAATTACTCTAGCTTACCCTTCTTTTCTATCTTGTTCATGTTTTCGTTCGGTACTCTTTAATTGCAATGATTACCTTGTGGGTGTGAGCAGAGGGAGGCGAGTGTTCGTTGGAGGAAACACTGGACGACGAAGACCTAGTGGTGTGGTCTATGACCGTTCGGTCATATAAATATAGTATGTATAAACCGTTCTGTCATGTATATAGTTTTGTAGTTAGGGTAGATTTGTGTAAAGTTTAAATTTATAGTTATTTGTGGATAGCTGTAAGTTAACCTTATTTCTAGAAACTGATCTACAATATTATAATGTAATAAATTCTTAAACATATAGTTTGGACTATATTTTTGAGATGTTACAATTTTAATCATATAATAAATATGCATTGAAAATAAAATTATTTATTAGTATATTATATTAGTTCATAATGTAAAAAAGATAACATCAAATATATAAACTAAAACAAATTATATAATAAAACTGATTTAAATAAAATAGTATTTTTTTCCTTGTTTAAACTAAACCAAATCGTATTAAATATAATTTTTATATTTAGCTCATATACATTTTACGGCGAACATGCTTAATGTTAGGTTTAATGTGATAAAATTGAGATGACGTTTTGAAGATAATATTAATGTTGAATTAGATATTTTCCTATAGTTCCTTAATCAACAAGTATTACGGAGAAATCATAAATCATATTCTCCTTCAACACTATTACAGAAACATGATTATATAGAAAAGAAAAGCGGCTTACGTACTTGCATTGGATTTTTGCGTGAAACTTTGACTTGATTCTTGTTGAAAAAGGAACACAGAACTGTAATTTGTGAAACACGTTGAGTTCATTGTCACATTTTCTGCGTAGTGTCATACATATGTCAAGATGTCCAAAGCATGCATTATCATGAAAAGTTCAAGGTAACTTTCCACGACAAGTGGACATCCAAGTTATATTATCATACATGAACATAAGACTCTATTGCTGAGTCTAGGATATATTTGATTTTTTTTTTTAAATAACAATTTAATAATCTGTATTTAACCTCTTATGTTTGTAAAAGATCAATGTCCTCTGTCAAAGAAAGTCATGTTGGAAGTCTCACACATCGACTAGAGATAAGACCAAAATATAATATATAAGTGAGGTGCAAACCTCACCTTACAAGCCAGTTTTGTGGGGTTGAGTTAGACTTAAAATCCACCTTTAATAAGCCAACTGCGATTTCTTTTCCAGCTATTATTTTCTTTATATAATATATATATATATAATATATATATTATTTTTGATATTTTTAAAATTTTTTATTGTAATTTTAATACCCTCATAATATGATTTTGTACTAATATAATGTTTTCACATCATTTTTTAAATATGAATATTTATATATATAATATTAGTGTGTGTATATATATATATATATATATATGTTAGAAATATTATATATTTTATCTTTATCTTTTATCTTTCAGTTAGTTTGTTATTATTTCTTATTTGTATTTTGGGCTTAGCCCATATTTCATCTATTATAAATAGAGAACCCTATGTGTGTTTAACACAAGGGAGATTATCCATAAATAATTTTCACTATATTTAAACATATATCTATATATATATATATATATATATCATATATATATAATTAATAATGTTTATACTGTTCTTTTGAAATTTTTTGAAATATTTCTTATAGTAAATATATTGTACATATGTATATATAATAATGTTAGTTAATGTTATTAATCATGAACAGTAATACGATATCTATTAATTTGGATCGCTATATAAAATATGATAAAAAATAAATATTTTTTTTATATTAAAGTATTAGTAAAATAATTTGTGAAATTGTTTTCTTATAAAAATTATGTAATTTATAATATATATATATATATATATATATAATATATTATTTACATTCTTAATTCTAATAATTGTTATAAGAAAATAGAGAATGAAACAAGGATTTTAATTTCCAATTATTTTTCGAATGTTCTCATACTCAAATCAGCACTCGAGAGAAGATTTGTTTTATCCAGAAGTTTTCCACGTGCTAGGTATACTTTTCTAAAACGACGCGGTGAAAGAATAAACGTTTATATGTTTTATTCAGTTTCACACTGCTCTGCATAATAAATAAAGTTGTAGGAAAAAGTTAGTTTGACACGTATTCAGAAACAAACATTAATCTGACCCTACTTCTCATAATATAATAATATAATTATGATTTTAAATGAAAATAATATAATTATATGAAAATATATAATTTGAGTTGTCAAATGTACGTAACTTTTTTTCCTTCACGTAAATTCCCTAAACGATATAAACGCCAAGGAAGAAAAGAAAAAATATTTGAACTAGGTTTTAAAGACTTTTCACACTTTGGAAAGAAGAAAGAGCACATACTAATTGTCCACAAAAGAAGGAAGCTGTTTATAGTAAAGAATAAGTACTCTTACAGTTACGCGACAAATTTGGAAGATGTACATTATTAATTATATGCCATCTTGCAAGAACAAGGGAGCATACTTGTCCTTTTCAAGAAAATTTTGCCTAATAGTTTTCTTTTACACTAAGACAAGTCACGGTCAATTAATGTTTTTTTGTGTATTTAATTTCTGTAGTCATTGTTTTGGAGTTTTCTTATTTTGTTAACAAATTTAACGATGCGAATATACTAGGTGTCTCCATGGGCTATAGTTTTACTTTTGTGCAACTCGTTCTTTGTATATATATGCTATAATGTTGTATATTGCTTAGAAGACCTCCCTTATTTATTTATTCTTATATTAGAAGACTTCACTTTCAAAACAATATATATATGGCCACCGATTTCTGTTGTGCTTGAATTATTACTTTTAATTAAGTCTCATTTGGGAAATAAATTTTGTGTGGGAATGCAAGAAAGAGGCTGAGACAACAGAAAGACATAAAAAATGAAGTGAGATATAGAATATCATGAATCTCATACTTTTTAAAATTCTATTTCTTTGCTCTTACACTAAGAAACCAACATTAACTTCATCAGTTTCTTTTTCTTTTCTTAATGCATGATTTAAAGGTGTGAACAATGGTGAATCTTCAAAATATATTTTGAGACATTATATTTTCTTATTTTATAGATTTATACAAAATTGAAGAGGCCAAATGTATAAAATTTATTGAAATTTAAAAAAGAAATACTTTATTTATATATGTTAATTTTTGTTTGTGTGAAAAACATTTTAAGCTCCTCCAATGGACAAAGAAGCTCTGTTGTCACTGTTTATAGGGTTAGGAATTATTTGAGAAATTTAAAAACTAGGAACATATAATATTCTACTTTTTACTATATTCTTTTTGTTGATGAAAGGAATTTGCATGATTTTACTTTCTTATTTTAATTTTTTGATAACAAATAAAAATGTGAAATGAAATGCCACTACTAAATAAATAAGATAGGAGTATTATTTTTTTCTTTTCCGAAAAAGAAACAAAGAGAATTCTAAATTATCATTTAGCACAAAATCAATACCGTTGATAAAATGAATGAATTGATCTCCATTATTGAAGTTGATTCTTAAAAAAATAAATAAAAATATTTCAATAAAATTTTATTTAACATTAAACAAGTTCCAACATCTTCTTGTGTATACATTTCAAAGGCAAAAACATATCATGAACAAAACAATTAATTTTTATAGAATTCTTCAAGGTTTTAAACAAGTTGTACCATGGAACTGAACGGCCTAAGGAAATGTGAGGTATATCATTCAAGACGAACAACCTGGAACAACCAGGACAACAACACATTACCTTTGACGTTGGACAGCGTGATTCGACAAAAAGTTTTATTTATAAGGATTAAGATAACTGGTAATTAGAGATATTGGACTGAGATTAGGTTGAGATTAAGATTTTACTAATCTCAAACCAATGACAAAAACTATAAATATAGGTTAAAAATAAAAGATAGGTGATCGCATTTACGGTGCATTAATACTTTTACTCTAAACTTTCATACAAACCATTTGTTAATTTAAACATCGAAGAATCTTTGGAAGTACCTCTTCGAACGATGGAGTGAAGATGAAGACTAAAAGTAGTTACCAAACGACATCAAAAGAAAAATTGTGTAGGTAGTTGAAGTGACTTTAACACCCTAAACATAAGTCTTTATAGATAAAAAGTATAGGCGTAAAGCATTGCTGCTTAATGAAACAAATTTGTATACTTGATGGTATACTATTCATGAGGACGTGAATGTGAAAAAGTCAAGAGACAAGATGTATAAATAAGCCTCATAATCATTATAACCTTATGATTAATTCTGGAAAAAGCTAGGGCATTCATATTTCAAAGCAACAAGCACAAATCAAAGTTCTTTGGCTTGGTTATACATGTTACACGAAATGGGTTCATGATTCGATGTATAAACCCCAAAAAGATATAAACTGCCAACATTTCAACAGTGTTACAAGTGACCTTCTTGTAAATGGGAAAATCTGTGTTTTCAGTCTACCCATGTCCGTTGACAAATATTTTCAGTCTCTCAATCAAAACGGCTGTTCCTAAGTTATAGGATTGCTGAATCTGCATAAAAGGAGAAACAACAATTGATTTTGTAAACTAATGTAAGGAAAAAGAAAAAAAACAAAGGGAAATTAAATATCCGAGGTAACACCGTCCATACCTCAGCGTTGAGAACATGTAGCGACGATGTCGCAGACGAGAGCGAGGAATGAAGTGTCTTGACTTCTATGTTGTCTTCATGCAGCATACGAATAATTTCCCTTAAAATGAACTGGTCCTCGAAGCCACACACCAGAGTGATTCGTAGCAAGGACCCATTTCATGAACCTCAACTTCGTTGCTTCGAAAGAACTAGAACATCCACTACGAGATCTCTTCCTTTCCCTTAAACTTTCTCTGTGCTTCTCCGCCATCTTCACCTTTGTCTCCAGGTTCTTGATGTGGTTGATAGCCTCGTCTATTTGATCAACACGTGATAATGCTTCCACCCTGCGTTCAATGTTGTGTTTAGTTACCCTCAAACCATTGCACTCACAATTTCATCAATACTGATGAAGTTCATATTTTAAGATCTATATATGCAATAAATGAAACTACTATAAATCAATACACATCAATGTTTTACAAAAACACTACTTTTTCATTTCCTTCTCCCACACTCCAAGCCCCATTATGCCTTGAAGGAGAGACAGACAAACCCTGGGATTATTGTTGTTAGGGAGAAGAGAGCTAAGCTGGGAACAGAGATTCTTCATATGGATTCTCCTGGTTTTTTCTATAGTTTTTCTTTCCATCGCTTTCGATGAAGAAGGTTGATCTCCCTGCTGAAGATCAGCCATTGATGGTGTTGATATTCTATGATTTATTAGAATCTAGGGTTCTATGAAAATGATCCGGGGAACCTGCCTGTAATTATATAGTTAGATAATAACATTTCAGTGTTTGGATTCTTTTTTGCTTCTAGCTAATTAATATTTACTTCAGCTATTTTCTTTATAAGTTAAGTTCAAAGAGTTATATTTTATCTTTACATTTATAAGGAGTAAAATAAAGATATAAGGATAAAATTGTTCAAATATAGGTTCTGAATAATAGTCCGGCATTTGATTAAGTTGGATTACTATTTTAGCTAACACTATACATTCTTTTATATATACATACATATATATATATATATATATATATATATATATTATATATTTTTTTCTTGTTATGTATTTGTATGTATTTATCTCCTTTTTTGTTACCTCTTTTATTTGTTATTTTTCTCTTGCCCAAGATTCTTTTTTAATACGAATTGTTACAATTTTATTTTTTAAATTAAAATAATTATCATAAAGTAACTATTTTTTAAAACTAAAATAATAACTTATAATAAAAAAATGTCTATAAAATAAATACAAAATTATAATTTATTTATATTTAAACTTTATAGTTTTGTTTATTTTTAAATTTTAATAATTATTTTTTTTTTGTTGTTTATTATAAAAAATATAAAAATATATTGTATTTCTGCTAGTATATTAATAGAAATTAATAAGGGTTATACTAATTTTTGAATTAATAATCATTTTATTACTAATAATACTGTATATTAGACTTAATTTTTTTAATTGAAATTAATATCGTATTTCACTAATTGAATAAAGGTAGTAATAAAATAAAGGTTAATATGTGTTAATAAAAAGAAACCATAATAGGTTTTAGAATATATAATGTTTCAAAAGTCATAACGTATCACCTGGGTTGACATAACTTATTTTCGAAGATACCACTTTGCTTTTCATACTTACTGTTTTTAAGATTAATAATAATTAGGGAATCCAAAGTAGAATGATATCTAATGACTTCAGTGGTCACTTTATCTTTGTTTTTTCTCATTAGTAATTTTTTTATTTTTGTTTTTCCTAACTTTTAGGCTCTCTTATCTTCATTATTTTTCAACGTTCTATTTAATTTTACCATTCATTTTCAATATCTATTTTTTATTATTTAACTTCATCTCCACGATAACACTTAATAAATGCTTAAACAAAATTCATGTACTTTTGTTTTTTTTTCAAAAACTTCGGATGTATAATCTTTGTTAATTCATGTGAATTGTCATAATGTTGGTTATTTTCTTGATTTCTATTTCAAAACGGTTTAGAGTATATTTCGTATTTTGTTCTAGTTTATTCCTTAAGAGTTTAATCACTTTCATTGAATTTTAAAAGATTTCTTATTTATTTTTAAAGGAACTGATTATTCCCATCAAATTTTTGCTTCTTTTTATTCTTTAGTAGACTAGTTGCTTTCATCAAAATTTAGGAAGTTTTTATTATTATTTAAGAGACTGGCTACTTCTATCGAACTTTTGCTTCTTTTTATTTCGTTGATTAATTTCATTAAATATTAAAAGGTCCTTAAGAGATTGGTTGTTGTCATCAAACTTTTGTTTCATTTTTTTTCTTAAGGTAAAGGTTGTTCTCATAGGATTTGTAGTCAGTGTAGTTTTTGTAACATAGGTCATAACCTGCTAAATGTAATTTTTGTAAAGTAGGATAGAATTAATGTAATTTTTGTAATGCAGGATACAACCTACCTTATGTAGTTTTTGTAACCTAGGATACAATTAGCTCAATGTAGTTTTTGCATAGGACCTAGTTGACTGCATTGTTTGTTCAAGATCGATGGTTGGGTTAGTTCCTCCTTGATATTGGATTTTACAATGTCTGGGCATTGTATTATGTTTTACTCCTCAACCATCATCAAGAAAACATTATTCCTCAATGAGATAAATGATGAAACATACTTCAAACACAACTTGAAAGAAATAAAAATTGAGTGATCATTTGTGGTAAGCAAATCCTGAAAAATTAAATAGAAGAAAAAAAAGGAGAAATCGAGAAAAAAAAGAAGAAATCAGGTTATCCTGAATCGTTGTCAATTAAAATGAGATTTTTATTATTAACCGATCATAACGTCTCAATACAATGTAAGACGATCCACAACTAATTTAATCACCATACTAATTCTAAAGATCTTCACTCCAACAAAAATGCATTCATAATTTATTTTCAACACAACGAGAAAGATCAAGTCATCAATCACGTAAAATATATAGTACAAAAGGTTAAAAGACCAATGTACATATAACTTTAAGATAAATAAACAAATTTAGGAATTAAAAAACCAATGCGGAGACTTCCATTCCATAACAGGTTGGATGATCATCATATTCTGCCGGAAGGCAACCAAACTTTAAACTCTNATCCTGCTTGGAGGAGGATGAGGAGGAGGAGGACCACCTGGAGTGCATGGAGTAGCGTCCGTCCGCACCAAGCCCCGTCTGGTCCGTAGCGTCTATAGCGTTCGTCCGCCCAGTCTTTAGCATCTGCTAATCTTCGATACTATTAGGAGTGTTTTAATAGGGTCACACCAAACCCGACCGAAACAATAATATTATTATAAAAGTTATTGCGTGAAGGTTTCTAATCTTTTTTTAAATATTTGTTCACAATCCACTTTTTTTAACTAGTAGACATCTCTGTTATTTTTATATTTAGTGTGGCAGTTAAATTTTTGTTTTATTTTTATTTTCGTTGGGAAAATGAGATATCAATACTTTAAAGAATACTTTATTATTTTAAATATTAATTAAATGTAATAAAAAGTATGATATTATTAATAATTTAATGTGAAAATAAATAAATTAATAAATGAAGATATTAAAAGTATAAATAATTAAATGTATGTCTAAAATTTATTTTCAATTTGATATTTTTTAAATTTATTCTTTAATTCAAAAAATTTTAATTACAAAACTATTTAAAAAATAAATAACAACTATTTACAGTAAAATTATAGAAATTATTTATATTTAATTTGATATTAATAATAGTAATAATTTTATTATTTTTAATTATCATGAAAAAATTTAACAGTAATAAATGTGTTTTCACAGATAAATAAATAAATAATAATAGAGATTCAAATTTAAAATGTCTCCATGTTATATTATTTTAATTACATATATACTTATTGTAAAGACCTGAAAAATAGAGTCTTATAGAGCAGATTGGTGTATTGGAATAATGAGATAGATTATTTCACTTTAAAATAATCTTATAATATAAACAGATTTCTTATAAACACTTCTCATTATTCTAAAAACATTTCATCTCTCTAGAACTTTATTCTTCAGAGTTCTCTGAGTTCTCTCTAAGATTTCTTCTTGCTGAGTTATCTGTTCAACGATCAGGAAGTGCCTAGGCGATCCTTGCGTTGAGGGCTTGAGTTTGGACCGATCAATTTCTCGTTCTTCAGCTGGTAAGTCGTCTTCCTTTTTCGGTCCGTTCTTCTCTGAGCTGTGAGCATGCAACGATTCCGGTTGCATGTGGGTAGTGGTTATTTCCTTCCAATTCTAGCTCAATCTAGGTTCTAAGTGTGTTTATCTATCACCAATTGTTGAGTTGTAGGTTCCTGTCGAGTTTCCTTGTTGTGCAAGGTACGGTTGAAGCGTTTCTGTGAGTTGATTATCTGTCTCTGAGGTAAGGGGAGCTAGCCACTGTATTGAATTGTTGTATGAACTATTTATGTGCTGAGTTTGTTAGTATTTGACTGTTTGAGACTAAAATGGTTAGTTCTAGAGCAATATGAATTGAATGTGCTAGAAAGATGAGATTATGAAACTGTGATCTGTGTTGATGAACTGGTTTGGATGATTACGTGCTGCGAATTGGAGGTTATTGCTATAGGAGAATTGTTGTGGGGATGAAGAAGTATAGAGTGAAGTGAATTGGACTGGTTTAGGGTATTTAGAGGAAGTAAGGTAGTGAAATTGAGAATTGGTGGTCAAGGGCTGTTGGTGACTGTTGGGATAGTGTAGGTAGGTCATATGGGACTGGTTTAAGTCATTAAAATGGTCAAAAACAGGTTCAAAATAGTAGAATTGGTTTTGGGACTATAAGTTGAGAAATTGGAGGTTTTAGAGTAGAGATTGGTGCATAAACACTTTAGATTGGTGTTAGGAATGTTTAGAATCCTTTAGACAAGTTTAATTTAGTATATACATCAAATTAGGAGTGTTAGAAGTTGACCAAGTTGAGTAGAATTGGTAAAGAGTGGGTGAGTTGTGTAATTCTACAGAATTTTGTTCTGCAGAATTTTGTTCTGCAGATTATGCAGACTCGCTGTGCGAATGGATTCGCATAGCGAGTCATCTTGGCGAGGTGCTCTCTTCCAATGAACCCGCATAGCGAATAGGTGCGCTGTGCGAGTGAATTGAGAGAGTTGCTCTCTGTTTGTCAATCCGCATAATGAATTGGATCGTTATGCGACTGGTTGGGGTTTGGAACTATTATTCAGTTTAATTCGGTTAGCGAGTGGGTTTCGCTCTGCAAGTGTTTAGGGGTGTCAAGCCTCTGGATGAGGTTCTTGAATAGCGAGATTGGGTCGCTATGCGAGGGGTTAGGGTCTGATTTTTTTCATCTTTTAATCGCATAGCCATTTTAGTCGCAATGCGAGAGATCCAGAGTAGTTGGTCTCTGTCTTTGGTTTTTCACAAGGCGAGTTAGGTCGCTGTGCGAGAAGCTCATGGTCTTGCTATGCGAAGGTGTGCGTTGTGCGAGAAGTACGTTATAGTTCCAATATTGTGTATTCTTATGTTGTTTAATATGTATCAATGAGTGTTGTATGAAGTAAGTTGAAGTTGTATCATGTAATATCTGTGGTAATTGTGGTATGNTCGAGAAGTTTTTAATGGCGCCTACGATTAGTGACAAAATGTTCTAGCTAACAGGTAAAATCCAATCAACCAAAAATCCAAACAGTGATATGCCTTTTCCCTAGCATCAAT